GCATGCCTAGTGGTCCGGTACGCATCATGCTATGTCTGGATTTCTATTCTAAGTGCCAAGTCCTTCTGCTTGTGCCACTATATGGTATCTGGACTAGGTTCCTCCCTTCCCCCATCTCATCGCCGTATCGAGTAGCTGCCACATTTTCCCAACCCTTGGGTCCGCCGCAGCTTTGGCCAAACGGGCCAGAGCACCGAGAGAGACCTCCGGGGCTACAACCATAGCAAACGCAATTGCGCCTATCACCAATGGCTTGCTAGTCGTTTGTTCCCACAGTCTGTTCATCGTAGTTATCAGGACTACTTTCTTCACCCTCTTATCGGAATAAGAGGCATAGTCCTGCATTGTTTGGAATTCCAGTCCTCTTCCTTCTGTAAGTGATTCCGTGTTCTTTGTATGCGGCACGTAGTGAAACTCGATAGGATCATTACGCAGGAACACCGATCCTCCTACGAACGAGCACGTCAGACCGCAATCGTCTTTCCTGACAACCTCGAGCTGCTTGTTATATAGGTGTTCGAAGATTTCAAACACAGTCTTCGCTTGGGTTCTCCGGGTCTGCCCCACCACGATTGAGATGTCGTCCATGATTCGCCAGCCAAATACAAGACAGCGGTCCCTTCCCGGGGAGCCGAGGAACTGCATTTCGGCCATAGCAAATGTAATCGAAGCCAGTATTGGGCTCGTTGTTTTCCTCTTCGGAATCCCGAACCGCTGCCTGTATATCCTGTTCCCACATCTCACCACTGAATTCAACAGGTCGAACCGCACCCCCACCAGCAGTTCCTTCAGCTTGATGGATACATACCCATCGGTCTTCCGTCTTGTCTTACTTAGAACACACAACTTGCCCCTGTATGACACTTTCACCGCCTGCCATCCCTCATCTTCGTACTTCCGGAGCATCCGGGTGACCGCTTGTAGCACAGCCTCATGCGGAATCCTGGAGAACATCTCCTTTATGTCGTAGCATCGTCCTGCTACTTCCGTACAGTCCTCGTTCTGCAGTCTAAGCGCAGCTGCTTCCATCCGTCCGCCGAGTTCAGCCACCGAGTTAAGATAAAAGGAGCTTGTCACCGGCATCCTCACAAGGAGACAGTGTAATGCCCTCGCTACTCGCCATTGTGCGAGTGCTCTTGGATCAGATGGTGCCGGTGCTATGGGCCTCCATCTATCCAGGTCTTTGTGCTTCGGTATCACATAGGCGGTCCCGAGCCTCCCATCTGGTTTCCATCCTCCGATCCTGTCCAGCTTCAGGTTCGTGAAGTCCTCTCTGCACTTCCGCAGCAGTTCTACTTCCGAGTTCGGATCGCCGACGGCTTTGTAGTTCTCGTTCCAGAGGAATACCTTTCCAAAAGCGTGGCGGTATAGAACCGGGCAGATGACTGCGGTATCCCCCTGGTTACGGTCTATCGGTGTGAGCACGAATCCTTCAAACATCCTTCTCCAGTTGTGCACTTCATTCTCTGTCCACGCTGGGCTTCGTCTCGCTTCCTTGCGTACTGTGTCCTTCGGTAGAACCACCGGTATCTCCGGTCCTCTCAAGTGCTTCGTAGCAGCCAGGATCGCCTGCTCCAGTGTCCGTATGTCCACCGCTCCATCTGATCTTGTCACGTTCACCGCGTTCCTGACAAAGCTCGGTATATCCTTCAGGTCCGCGAATCTTGTCTTCACATGTCCCTCCACCTTTGGTAGGTTGCTACCCGTACAGTTGCAGATCCGCTCCACCTCCGTTGCGTATTTCTTCTGGTTATGCAGCAGCTCGCTGAAAGTCTTGTTTGTACTCCAGACCAGCCTGATCTTGGTCTTTACAAATGTGGCTATCGCTCTGTCACCGATCTTGTTGCTGATCAGATCTTCAGTCGCCTTTCGCATACTGCTCCTCTTGATGAGCGCATCATATTTGAGATTTACTATGATGCGCTTCCTGATGCTCACTCCGATCTTTCGTCTTATGGCGATGTCAATCTTCCGTCGTAGTGAGGTCTTGGTCTTCTTTTCCATAAATAAGCCCGCCACACGATACAATCCAATAAGCTTATTTGTGGTCCGTCGCGTCAGGCAGGTCATTGGCTTCGGTCTTCGCAGTAATTCTCGCAGAAAGATCCTGTTTTTCTCCGTGGTTGTCTTCTCCTTTACTATCTTGATGAGCACCACCTTAGCCCCTTTCTCAAGCTGCGATTTAGATTCCTTCAGCTTCTTGATCTCGGCCGCGACTTCCAGTGTAGTTCCTCCATACCTGGTTCTAATTTTTCGCCATCCATCGATCCAAACTTCACCCTTGTTGAATGTCACCTCTCCCGGGTTCAGTCCTTGCCCCCGGTGATCTTCCAGCAGCTTGATGAACGACGTCCCGGTCACACCGTGATGAACGTAGGTCACCACACTCTTCGTTCTCATGGCACACGCTCTTCCCCTTCTCTCCCGTTTCCCCCTCCTCTGTCTCCTTCTCCTTCTCCTTTCCTCCTTACCCACTTCCCTCGTGTTTAGACTTGGATACAAGTCAGAGATAAGGAATCTCTCATACGAATAATCGTCTGTCTTTCCTGCGTGCCTAATGGGGAGAACTAGGTACCTGTCAATCCCATACGTTCTAAGCCACCTGAAAAGGTGTGGTGCTAGTCCTAGCGTGTCACTATTTGCGTTGTTGCAGTGTTCCCTCTACCTTTGGATGATGGGCCTGGTGGTACATCCTACATACACCTTTCTCGTCCACGAACTTACCACTGCATACACTCCACCCGTGTCCAAATCCAGCATATGCTCCCATCCATCTGCTCTAGCTAGGTACTTTTCAAGCCACAGAATTTGTCCTCGTGTAGTCAGTATTACCGTAGTAATGGTGATGGCCGCCTCAATTTTCCTAGTCTTTTCTCCGCACAGTCCTTGCCCCCTACAAAACTTGCGTTGTGCGAGCCACCTATTCAGCGTCTCCCACAGTTGTGTGTTAGTGGGGGCTGTGCACCGTCAGTCGGAGTCTTCTGGTTGCATTGGTGCCGACTTGAGGACGATTCTGGGTTGTCGCATCGTCGGAGTCTCCATCACGGTCTTCTCCTTTAAAGTCTCCTTTCTAGGCGTCTCAGATGCCTTCCCTCGGTCATCTCGAACCCGTCATACGCGAGTTCCACTTGTTGTCGCGCCAGCATCTCTATGACTTCCGACTTTGTAGTGTATTTAACACCCTTCCTCTCGCAAATTCTTCTGAGAGTGTGTGCCTTCTTCTCTGAATAGATTTTATGAGCCGAGATGCAATATTCTATCAAACCTTGTTGCCAACAGCCGGCTGAGAGCCCTTTATACCCATTTGTTAGTGGTGTCTTCGGCTCTGCTTCTTTATCCCGTCCATCCTCCCCCTTCGCGGTCTCAACTCGATGCTCACTTCCCCTTCCTTCCGTTGGTGCTTTCCTGGAGCATTCACCCTTCTCATGTACTACTGGCGTGGCCTCCTTCATAGGTGCTGCCTCCTTCCCTTTCCTGCTTCCGGCCTTTGCTCTTCCCTTTCCTCCCCGCTTCCTTGACCACTTTCGCTTGTTGCGTATCTCCGAGTCGCTCGCAGTGTTTGTGCAACTCGAAGCTGTGTCCGTCTCCGTGGTAGATTCCTCACTCGTGTCGGAGTAGACTTTCCTCTTTGTCTTTCGTACCTTCCGCCGGTCTCTCTTCCCTTTCCTGGCTTTGCTGACCGTCTTCTCTCTCCTTGTGTCGCGCACGGCTTCCTCCGCTGCTTGATTCTTCTTCCTTAATTCTTCGTTCAGATCGATGTGTAGTTGGAGCTTCAATTCCTCCATCTTCCTTGCGAAGTCATGATTTTTCCAGACTTCTTCCTCCTCTCTCGCCCTCTTCTCCTCCTCAGCCTTCCTTCTCTCTTCTTGTTCCTGTCTTTCCCTCCTTGCTTATCTAAACTGCTCCTTTATCTCTTCGATCTCCGGATCTTGTTGAATTTGCTGGTTTTGCCGTCCGCGTCCGGACCAGCAGTCTCTAGCGAAGTGCCCGGGCTTACCGCAGTTATAGCAAACCCTGTTCGGTCCGCCTGCGTTCCCGAACCCGCTTCCTCCAGGATTACTCTGCCCTACGAGGTTTTGTTGATTATTATTATTTCCCCCATAGTTACCCGCTCCTCCAAAACTCCCTCCGTTTCCACTCGATGGTCCCGTAGTCACGTACATTCTACCCTCTTGTCAAGTGTATCTATTAAATCTTATCTTGTTAATTATCACCCTTTGCTCTACTCTTATCTTCTGTTGTCCTCTATTCTTTTCCCGTTTATCCTATCCTTGGTTAACTTATGATACTCATCCTACTGTATTTTCCCACACCGGTACCTCCGTTATCCATGTTCCAGCTATCTACCATTCTCCGTTTAGGCTCCTAATTCCTCCAAATATCCATGATTGCATCGTACTGTGTGTTCTCGTCGTCTCTTAGTGCGAGTAGGGTGCTTTCGATCAGAATCAGGTGCTTCATCAGCATATCATAGAGACCATTCCTCGCGCGAGTGTTTTCTATGCATTCAGCTAAGAAGAACATCGGTCTAATCGTTATCCTTACGTAGCTATTCAGATACCATCTAAGTCGGCTATTGAACGATGCTCTCCGTCTCCTGGCGGTCCTAATCCTTACCGCGCGGCAATGAAAACATCCATACGGCATCGTGAGTGGTCAGAAGGCCGGTCCTATAAGCATAAACCCAACCCCAATAATCACGCACCCGAGTCCGTTTATTACAGTCTTCATTAGACATTGTTTTCTTATCCTAGCTTATTGCATCAGGTGTTAGTGACTCCGTTAGCTCTTCCGATAGGTATCAATCACTCGCTTGTCCCTCACGCCTTGTTTGACTCGCGCATCTCACTAATTCGACTTGTAGTGGTCCTTACCCTCCGTGCTTGCTCCGATGTGCTTCCGATCTCGTTCGTAAGCTCCGTTTCTCACGTAGTGTTAGTACCTCGAGCTGCGCTCGCCGCTCGTGTCCCGATCGTGTTCTTAAGTCAGTTTGCGTTCTCTGGCTAAAACACCTCCCTTCGCGTAGCGGTTACCTGCTCCGATCCCTTCTTGGCGTGCACTATATGAGCGCGGTCGTCTCTTACCAGCCAAAGACTCTAGTAGTCCTCATCCGCCGAGTTCGCTACGACGTGCGTCGTTCTCGTTCATGAGCTCCGCTTTCCACGGAGTGCTCGTACGTCGAACTACTCAGGTGACCCGATCGCGATCTCCAGTCAGTTCACGTTCTCTAGCTAGATCTCCTTTCCTCCCATAAGTGGTTACCCGCTCCAATCTCTTCTTGCCAGCCACAGGCTCTATTCTCCCGCTGACGTGTGTTCGCACACCCGTGTGAAGTCACGTCTAGTTAGTCGTGTACTCTCCTCACCTCCCCTTACCTCGTGTATCCGTCGACGCAGCCACCTAGTAAGCATAGAAACAACTCCCGGTTACTACGTGCCTACGAGTTAGGCAGACTGCGGCTCCACAGCCCATGCAGGACGACGGACAGCAAAAACCAGATAAACAGCTCAGTCAACAAAAGAGATGAATCTCACATGTTAACAGC